GTAAAAGAATATTACCTATCAGATGAGAATGTCGAAGACTTTAACATGTTTTAAACTAAAAGAGTACACCACGATCGTTGATAAACAAATTGACGTCGACATCTCGTTGAAAGCGAGCCAGGAGACTTATTTGTGTCCTTCAAATGTATTTCTCTCTCTTCCTTGCGTCTACTATTTCACTGATCCAAGGTATTTGGAACTGCGGATGTGATGACTGGAGAGAATTGCACATTTTTTTGCAGGGGTAACACACTAATCTCGTGGCTCTCTCATCCTCGACGACATCTCGGCGGACATTTTCATCTTAGCTATATTCACTAGTGAAAATGGTGTATATAAAAATCGGAATAATCGTTTGTATATTTTAGCACAACGACTAGAATTGTAACTAAAACAAACACACGTTTAAGTTATACTGATTCTTGTAGGGAGCTATAAACAATGCGACTTTCAGACTGGTTACTGTGATTGGACTCAGGCTTCCGAAACCGACGACAGTAGTTGGACCCGGCAGGCAGGACAGACGCGATATTTTACATACACAGGTCCACTTGCTGACCATACATACGCCGATGACACAGGTAGGTGCTAAGTAAATCCCTGAAAAATTATTGCTTATTTCATAATTGATGAACTACAAAATTCTGACACGACAAAACACATCATCTATTCAGCATTTCCAACTCTGATTTGTTTGACCAGGATACTACATCTGCTTTCAACCTTCCTACAATGAATATGGTTATACAAGCCAACTTTTAAGTCCAATATTCCAACGTTCATCAAATACCTGCACGGTAAGTATTGCAAGCTAATAAGTTCGTTCGAGGGGTTCAGACAACTATACAGAACTGCCTGTAAAAGTGCAAAATGGCCACTTCAAAAGGAACACACGTTAAAGCTTTTACAAAAAAGTAGACAATTGGTATCAATCAGAATTATGTAATTATAACCATATGTTCACTACAGGCTGCCTAACAAAATTGTTAGGAAACCCTTTTTACCATAAATGATAAATGCCTGAAAAATTATCGTTTTCATTGATTCGTATTTTGTGCAAAAAGTGATTTAGTTACTATAAACAATATAAATATAGCTGCATAGCAGCGATGACGGGTTTCAAGCCTGTGTGGCTCATGGCAAATTGCACTTGCTTGATGTGATTATTGGACGAACGTTTCATGTCTAGAATGCAATGTTCTTAACAAGTCCTCTCGTATTTTGCTATTATGAACCACACTGGAATCAGCAGACATAACCATTTATAGTCATCTGTCCAATGTCATTCATAATTAAGGAGTTGTTTGATGTTATTAATCATGATTATTGTATTATTGAACTTTTGTTTTAGTGAAACTTTTCAGTTCTAAATCAGCCTGTTGCATTTTCGCATTTTGTTGCCAAATTATGTGAAAAACTGTTAGAATTGGAAATGCTGCAAATAATGATCCTAGTGCATAGTTACTCAATGACTGAAATATCAATTCCAGTTATAGCATATATGTGCTCCTGAAACAAATCAAGATGGGAAAGTTTTGTGATAGCTTATACGTACGTTAAGGCAATAGAGCAATAACTGTATTAATAATTCATCTGCTTTGTTCAGTCAGTTGGTGCATTGGCTATTGATGTCAGGGCAAGTTGATGTGTGCACATGTGAATTGCACTGGAAAAGTGCACCATTGTGAGAGGGAGAGGTAACTTGTACAGTGTTCTGAATCCAATATATGTTGCTAATAACTAATTCAAAAATTCCGAGCACATATGATTACAGATAACAGCCTATATTTATTATCAATAAACTTTAAATCCTTAAGACAAATAAATGATCAGATGATATTGGCATGTGTATAAAAAATGATAAACTGAAACTAAATTTTGTATATATGAAAACCCCAAAATAAACTTGCTATGCTAATGTTCGATGGAACAAAGAAACTACTAACTTGAATGAATATATCAGCGGCAACTTAGGTTTGGTTTCAATTTGGCAAATTGTTCATGAGTTATAGCGTATTTTTACTTTTTACTAAATCCAATATGGCTGCCAGAGGAAGCCATTTTTCAAAAATATGCTTCAGTAACTTTGTAGAGCTATCCACAGAGAAACTATATGCTAAATTGATTGTCAAACAAGCAAGCATTTTTTAAGAAGATAATTTTTTGAGGTTTTTTGCATTTTTGTGATAAATTCAAGATGGCCGCCAAAACCACTTGAATCATGGAAAATGTTTTTATGAACACATAATTATCTCATTGAAGGGATGTTGTATGCCAACTTTGGTTTCAATCTAGCAAATTCTTCATGAGTTATAGTGTAATTTCACTTTTTACTAAATCCAAGATAGCTGCCAAAGGAAGCCATTTTTCAAAAATCTGCTTCAGTATTTTTTAGAGCTATGGCCATAAGTGCTGTAAAGCAATTTCTAATCACATGAATGAGCCATTTTTAGGAAGAAGATTTTTATTTATTTTTTCATTTTTAGTAAATCCAATATGGCGGCCAAAGTCACATGACCGCTAAAGATTTTATTGATGATATTTGCTAGACATGATCCATTGATGCCACAGAAAAAAATCGGAAGTTTTTAGATCCTCAGAAAGTGGTGCAATTGAGCACTTTCTGTTTGTGTTCTACCTAAGATGGCGGCCAGGTCGTGTGACCTACATAGCTGGTTTTGGGGTATGCACCACAACTTATGGCCCTTTATTAGCATGCAAAATGCCAAATCAATCACAGCATTTTTTTCAAGTTACAGCGCTTAAAAAAAAAACGAAGGAAAAATAATAATAAACATAGCAATTACAATAGGGTTTCCCCCCATCTGGGCTCGAAACCCTAAATACAAAACAATATGGTAAAGGTCAAAGAAATGTAAGCATCTGTTCTGATGGTTGACAAGTGTTTTAACAGCAATGTATATTAACACAATAGCGATGTATATGTTTGCTTTAAAATGTAATATATGTGTCTTGCAGATGCGTATGTTCTACAACATGTATGGCATGTATATGGGAAGATTCAATATTTACACACGTATATATGACAGAACAAATCAAGGACAAACTCGTGTGTGGCAACAAATAGGTGAAAGGGGGCCATTATGGAATAGACTTTCGCTTACTTTCAATATTAGCACTGATTTCCAGGTAATGTTACAGACATCATAAACATTAATCAATAAAATGTGTTTATTAATGAGACATTTAGATTGAACAATCAGTTTACGTTTCGTTAACAGGTCGTTCTTGAAGCAGTTGCTGGAGACAGTTCTTATGGTGTTATTGCAGTGGATGACATAACTTTCTCCCCGGACTGTTTAGCCAGTACGAGTAGTAAGTGATTTATTGGCGTGCCTGACACAAATATCGTTATATCCCTTCGATTCAGTTACCAAGTTTATCCTCTTCTTTCATTCCTTGCCAGGTAATCTACCAAATGCTCCCATCACAACACCTCCACCATCACCACCATCGGCAACTCCCCATCCAGCATGCGAAGCTGGTGATTTCTACTGTACGGCAGATAGTAAATGTCTTCCATCACAACGTGTTTGTAATTTCCGCAACGATTGCTCTGATGGAGAAGATGAAACAAAGATGTGTGGTATGTATTTATATAAGTCAATACGTCAAAATTCAGTTATAGTACTTTTGTGTGTTACGCCACCATGTGAGCTATTTGAAAAACGTGTGTGCTATAGACAGTTTTAAGAAAATCAATAAAGGTAATAAATACTTACTAATAAATGTTCTTATACATGTAGGTTTCAAATGTTAAACTTCTTTCTTTCACAGTTGATACTGTATGTGATTTTGAGAATGGCACATGTGGTTGGCATGGTGTATATGTTGACACACAACAACGTAGTACGAGACCACAGTTTGTATGGGATAGACAACAAGGGAGAACAACAATCAAAGGCGATACCAGACCATCTACTGATCACACGATACAAACGGGCTATGGTATGTTATACGCCCCGATCACCACGTAATACGTTATATAAAGTTATAAGGATGGATATATCAATATTCTTTTACCGGGTATTATAAATCTAATAGCTGTTTTGAGCTGTTAGTATATGCGCAATTTGGCTTTGTTGTTGTTGTTGTCGTTGTTGTTGTTGTTGTTTTCTTTTCAAACGATACATTTTAAGCTCAACTAAATATTATGATTATGTACTTCAACTAACAACTCTTAAAGCATGCCTAATGTATTCAACTTTTATACTCCTCCTCCTCCTCCCACCAGGGTATTTAGTTGTGTCGAGTCAGATAGTACCTCAGATTTGGGACACGCTGTGTAAGGTGAACCCGGCCTATTACACACTTACTCCAAGCGTTCATGTGGTATCGAGTTCAATTCTTTGTGATGTCAGTATGTGGGCGCTGTTTGTTTTCATACGTTGCCCTAAAACTATTTAACAAAGTCACAGGTGTATGTGATTACATTGATGCCTCAGCAAAACTGTATTATGAAAAAACATAATACTTCATATTTGTTTTAATTTTAAGGTTGGTACTTGTTTGCTGATAACTCCCCTGGGTCCCATCAATCGATAACTCAAATATCAACGCCTTGGATTGGACAGACTAGTCCAAATTGTCGTTTTGAATTCTGGTACCATATGGGAGGTAGAAATCTTGGAACATTACAGTTATTAATACAATTTCAAAATTCAACGCACGTGAGGTATGTGCAAAGCGGTGCATCAGGTACAGAATGGAAACGTGCAGTGATTTATCTTGGATACGAACAAAATTTCAAGGTAAACTCGTAATTGTCTGTGCTAAATCGTTTTCACATTGTTATAAATATGCTTTGTTTACGCCACATCGTAAACACAGATTCATTGATTGGATAATCAAATCTACCAATCATACACTTTGTACTATGGCACACAAATCGTGGTGGTGTTCATTATGAGTGTTCATATCATAGCTGTTTCCTGTTGCAAAAATACTCGAAAATATGTTTGTTTATTAATATTGTAGCACATTAAACGAATATACTTTGTCGCTGGGGTGTTATTATGCAAATGAATGTATTCATTCCGTTTACAGCTGATTATACAAGCCAGCAGGGGCCGCAGTTATTCGGGTGATACTTGTATCGACGATATCAAATTTGAAGATTGTGCACCTCCAGGTACTAATTAGTTTGTCTATAACGGATGATATTGATTCGTAATAAGTCAGCTCACTTTGCTGAAGAGTTTAGATGGGATAAATACCTGGATTAAACGTGTTTTTTTTTCTCGATATGTTTGTTTCAGTTATAACTGGTAATGACTGCAGGAACGATGAATTCCGCTGTACCAACGGTTTCTGTATTGATAAGAAGAAAGTGTGTAATTTTGTTGATGATTGTATGGATAATTCTGATGAAGATCATTGTGGTAATCACAGTTTTCTTATTATCATCGTGTGGTCATTTGTTTTCAACAAACATGTGATATGTCTGACATGACTGTCATTTGCATCATTTTATAAACAGATAATTTAATTGGACGGTGCGATTTTGAATTAGACTTTTGCGGCTGGCAACAGGAAAGTGGTGATGAATTTGACTGGTCGTTATTCCAAGGAACACAGCATAATTATGACACTGGACCGAATATTGACCATACACACCGGAGTCATACCGGTATGTTAGCAATATGCTGTATTTTTTTAGAAATTACGTGTAATATTCAGTCTTGTAATCATATATCATCTAGGTCGTGCATAACTAATTGTGTACAAGTCTAATATATTTTGCCGTTCTCAGGACAATACGCATATATCGAGACCACCTACCCACAACAAGCTTTGTACAGAGCACGATTAGCGAGTCCTTCTATAAAAGGATCAAGTATTGGCTGCAGGGTGAGTTGAGCCAGTCGTCCTTACAAAATATTGAATTAAATTGAATTACCAATGACATTTACATAAACAGAGTAATAATATCACATTATCATAATTCGCATAGTTATTTCGTTACAGTTTATGTTATGGTATCATATGTATGGCTCGACAATAGGTTCTCTCTCTGTTATGTTGAGAACTTCTTATTTAAATGAAGACAGTGGACTACAACTTTTAAATAATGTCAATATCACAGGCGAACAGGGAAACATCTGGTTGGCACTTGATGAAACTATAAGTAGCGGAGCTGATTTCAAGGTCAGTTCACGTTCGTGGTTCTCATCCATTGAATATATAACTGCGTCATTCAATCCCACGCTGACCTACAAACTGAGCTTGATGTTGTCGCTACGGGATTCGTGGGTTAGTTTATTTAATATTTTAAAAAAGTCTGTGGTGTGTTGCAGATTGTCTTAGAGGGTATGGTTGGAAATACTTACCATGGTGACATAGCTATCGATGATGTCAGTTTTAGCGCAGAGTGCCTTGGTGGGGGCAACGTCCCCGGTGAAACATCCACAACAGCACCGCCACCTCCCAAATGCAGTGCTGATACTACACTTTTATCGTGTCATGATGGTTCTGGATGTTATCATAGTTGGCAAAGATGCAATTTTATTACTACAGACTGTACAGACAATTCAGATGAATTTAATTGCGGTGAGTGTAACTTTTGAATCTCGTATGCCACTTATAATTGTGAAATATAATTGCGATTGTTGTTTTATTTTTTTCTTATTTTTACTAGGAAACGATTGTAATTTTGAATCGGGTACGTGTGGCTGGCAGAATTCTAAAATAGACCAGGCTGATTGGAAAATTGCACAAGGACCAACTCCTACACCTAATACTGGACCAACCAGTGACCACACCCTTGGGACTTCTCTAGGTAGGTCTATATAATGTTGTACTTTCTTCAATAGCGGAACACAGCCTAAGTGTAACATATTCACCAGGATAAAATTATCCAAGTGAAATGGCGTGTGGCTTTTCATCTTTCACAAAATCCAACTCACTCCTCTTCTGCTGTGTGCCTGTACCACAACTTTGACTCATATGACAAGGCTTCAACACAAATAAACGAAAATTTACTATTTCATGATGTTTCTGTTTAATATATCCAGGTCATTACATGTATTACGAAGCTGATGGTGGATATACTGGGTATAAAGCGTATCTGCAAACTCTGCCTTACCAAAATAGTCATGAAAATTGTCAGCTGACATTTTGGTATCATATGTATAATTATTATGATATGTACAATTATATGGGAACATTGTCAATTTCGGTTAAGTATGGAAATCATCAGTCTAAAGAAATATGGCGTATTTCCGGTAACCAAGGAGATTCCTGGAAGAAAGGGACAGCTCTGATTGGCCGATATGAGGAGTTTTCAGTTACAATTATTGCAGAGCGCGGCACGAACTTTTACAGCGATATTGCTATAGACGATCTCGTGTTTGAAAACTGCGCAGATGGTAAGTTTCGTTAACTCAGCTTAAGATAGCAAAAAGAGCTGTCTCATTCAGAACTTGAATTTAGCGTATATAATTCAAAAACCTGAATAATGCTGAATAATATTGCGTTTTACAGAAGACTACGTTCGACCATGTGATGAAGTTACAGAGTATGAATGCAAAGGCGAACAGCGTTGTCTATTAAGAGATAGATACTGTGACCACAGACCAGATTGTCTAGATGGATCAGACGAAAACGATTGCCGTACGTATACATAACCATTACTATATATCTTTATATAAAATATGTTTCGCACCCCCATGATGGCAATTTCCTTGACTCTTTTTCATTCAGTAAAGTTATTCATTGCATCATACCCCCCAAGTTTCTGGTAATTCTACGTTGAAATTTAACAGATATTCTAAATCAATGTTCCCGTATAAATGAAAACAAAATCAATTACAAGGACATACGCAGGACTCGTTGGGTCTGATTGTTCACAGACATATTTTGTCGTCATTGACCAAACATTAGACATATTTATCCGAATGACTTCAACAATTTAACAATCTTACGAGTGTATGTTAATTTACTTGCAGTTGTGAATACTGGAGATTGTCTTTTTGATACCGACAATCCATATTGTGACTATATTCAGATGAAAGATGACGACTTTGATTGGACGTCTGGTATCCATACAC